CCAGAAGTTCCCAGACCCTCTCTCCCACGACTTGTGAAGCCATGTTCCGTAGAGATCACTGTTCTTCACGTCTCCTGTCACTCAGCACGTGACTGCAGATGAAATCAAGGCTGGATGAGCTTCCAGAGGAGCAAGCAGGGCTGGGCAGTCCCTGGGGATCTGGACCTTGACACTAAATGGGGAAGGTTGTTCGCCCTGGGTCTAGAGCTGAACCTCGGGCCTTCAATTAGCAATTGCCCCCACCTCTTGTTTTTAAGGGTGAGAGGATCATGTGGAAATGAAAGGCACCCTGAGTTGATGCATAAGAACCTCAGGCCCTTTGTGCAAACAAAAGGCGGCCCTGGCGGGGGCAGGAGTCAAGGGTTCGTGACCCGGCTCTGACCTCCCGGGCGGTGCGACTTCTGAAGCAGCTCTCAGCCTGGAGCCCAGCCCTTCCCCTGCTCTCAGACTCATGAGGACATGGAACACGGATGTTCTTCCTCTTTGAGGCCCCAGCCTGGTTCCTGGAAGGCAGAAACCATTTGATGAAGAAGTAGCTGCTACTAATACATGAGCCCTCAGGGAGGGCTGCAGACCTCCACCTGCCGGACCTTCGGGGCAGGGAAATTCAAGAGTCCCCGACACCTGCTCAGGGCTGGGGTGGCTGCTCTGTCACCAAGACACCCTCTGCTACCCCAGATCTGTCCTCAATAAACTCATCACAAGTCATCTACGGCCACTCGCATGCGTACGTCACCAGAACCACCTTGAGACGTGGGTGCCCTCTCATCCCCTACCTGCCTAATGACCACTCTCCATGGTGGTGTATCTGTGAGATACTGTTTTCAAGACCTCTGGGTCCCTCCCCACCCCTGCCATGGAGGGCACAGACTGAGCGCAGATGGAACAGGTAAGTTTTATTTGGACTTTCAACTTGTTCAGAGGGCTCGGGGGGCCCCCACCTCCCCTCTGCATTCCCCGTCCCCACTTCCCCTCCCTGGAGGAACACTCAAGGTACAATGCCATCTCTGGAGTCCTTGGCCCCTTTCCCGCCTGACACACCCCTTCACTCCCCCACGCTGAGGGGGAGGGGAGACGTGTGAGGAGGGAGGGGCCTGGAAGAGTTGGATCAGAATGGTACATGCACTGACAGTAGCGTCCGCTGCCACGGGCCTGGGGCTGAGACCCAGCCGAGGCTGGCAGCGGGGGGTGGGTTCATCGTGGGTGGCAGGCTCTTGCTGTAGGAAGCTCCCCAGCCCCGGGACCCCCTGGCCTCCTGCTTACCCGTCCTTCTGAGGGTACGACTCTGAGGTAGATTTCACAGAGGGAATGTGGGTCACTGGGGTGTGGGAAAGGGGTTAGCTCTTTTGAATTTGATCTCCACAGCACCCTGGGCCCATCCTCGGGTTCTGGCTTGGGAGGCAGGGCTGATGACACCCACCCAGCTAACAGAGCCTGAGTCACACACCGGATCCTGGGTACCTGTGGTGCCAGGGCTCAAGTGGGGTAAGAGGGGAGGGGAGCAACTGTCATAAGCATCTGTGCCTCGGTGCTGGGGGCTCCAGGGGGAGCGCACGGGCCTCGAGGGCTGGCACAGACAGTCCCCTGGCCTGAGGGTCATGGGGCAGGGACCCCTGGCCCATAGGGCAGCCTCTTTAGGCTGGATCCTTCCAGTCCTTCAGGGTCCTCCCTCTCCTCTCCCACCCTCCCTGTTCCCCAGGGTGGGCAGAGGGGGAGAACAGGACTGGCCTGCAGAGAGTGGCAAGAATCAAAGTGTCTCCTTCCCCCAAGAGGGGCCCAGGCCACATGCCCTGAGCTGGCCATGGGATGGAGGAACTGGCCTCAGTGCGCAGGGCAGGCTCTGGAACCCCACTCAGGCTGTGTTCCTCGGGCAGAGCACGGCCTGAGAAAGATGGATGTCTGGGGAGGGGCTGAGGGAGCTCCTGGAGTCCTTTGATACCCTCCCTCTCCCCCAGGCCCAACCACTAGCCATCTCCTGGGATCCAACTGTGTTTGAGAACAGAAAGGCAGAGGGAGAGGCTGGGTAGGGTCCCCCCTCCCTGTCCCAGCCCAGGTCCCCATCTCCCCTTGGAAGCCAGGGAGCTGGGGAGAGCCTTGACTGACCTCCTGGGAAGAACCAGGGCTGAGTGGTGCCTGGACCAGGGAAGATGGCACACACGTTGACTCGGTAGCTAGTGGAGGTATCTGGGGGTCGTGAGGGGCAGGGCCCCCCACAAGATTCATGCAGCATTCAAAGTGAGTGAGTGCTTGGGGGTGATGGGAGAGGGCAGGGAAACAGCCAGTGGGTGGGGGCGGCACCCTAGATCTTGCTGTTCTCCAGGTGGGAGTCAATGTGTTTGATGAGGGCGTCGTCCGGATACCCGACGGGGAAACCCAGCTGGCAGAGGGGGCAGCTGCGGACGTCAGAGCCCACTGTCTCCATCAGCAGCTGCGGGGAGAAAGGGAAGTCACTTACGATCCCCAACCCTCCCCCATGCTCCCCGCATCCCAGCCTGCCCTTTCCCTGGGACCCGGGGCAGGGAGGACTGCTGCACACAGAAGGGTTCTGGGCACCGTCTGTCCAGTGCCAACCCTCTCCTCCCCGTCCCTGCCCACCTTCCACCAGTTCAGCATCCACTCCCCACCCCGGGGCCTCGGGTCACAGGAGGTGTGTGTGAGGAGGTGTGCATGCTCAGTCGGCCAGGACATCTGCCAGGGCCAGAGCCAGACGTGCCCCCGGAGTGACTAAGACACCGCTGCCAGATAACTCAAAGCACTGAAGAATCCAGGCAACGTATAACCCAAAAATAATTTTCTGTTTGGCTTTGGAATGTATTTGGGTCCTTCGAGGCGACAGGAGTTGAATCTGACATTCAGGAAACTCATTATTTCAGTGAAACGATGGAGCCCTAAGAGAGGCTGTCTTCTAAGACAGGTCTTAGAGGGGCTCCGAGGCCTGACGGCGGGAAGGGGGTGCGCAGGCCTGTCCCCGCGTCAGCCGGGACCCTCGGGTCAGCGTGGCCTCCGTCGCCCACGAAAGAGCAGATGCTCACCAATGAGTGTCCCCCTCAGGTCCTGTGCAGGGGGCTGCAGGCTATGGCCTCCCTCCCGGGAACCCTCTAAGGCAGCGGTTCTCAACCTGTGGGTCGCGACCCCTTTGGCTGTCGAACGACCCTTTCCCAGGGGTCGCCTGAGACCATCCTGCATATCAGATATTTACATGACGATTCATAACGGTAGCAACAATACAGTGATGCAGTAGCAACGAAAATAATTTTATGGTTGGGCCACACAGGGGGAACTGTATTGAAAGGGCCAGAAGGTTGAGAACCACTGCACTGGAATCGGATAATGGAACCATAACGGAATCACTGCCCTC